CTGAAGGGAGGGCAAAATTGGTACAAATTTTATGACATCAATTAGGGAATAAATGTATCAAGGGCCTTAAAAATATGCAGTTCTGCCTTCCAAACACATGCGCTAAGTAAACAGTCAGAAACGTAGCATGTTCTGTTCGCCTAAGGATGTTTATTGCAGAGTCATAGTAAAAAAGCAGGTATCAGTCTGGATGTCCAGCTCCCGGGGATTGGCTAAGTAGATTCTGGACCATGCAGCCCATTCGAGCAACGATGTGACCACTAAAAACTGTTGCTTAAAATATTTGATGTCATGTGGAAATGGTTATGATAGTAAGTGGTGAGTGGAAAAATAGGAAAATTCAAACCACGTACAGATTATGACCCCAGTTTCACTTTTTAAATGTTTATATGCCCAAAGAGAGTGAAAGTGGACTGACTGGAAGGGGCGGGTCCACGGGCCAGCTCCCTGGGTGGTAGAATTATGGGTACTAACTATTTTTTCTTTTTTTTTCCTTCAAAAATTTCTACCAAGATGTTTTTTACTTTTATGATTAGAAAATACTTAGTTGAAACTTGGGAGAGAACTTGGAACAGACAGCACAGGATAGTGGCCCATCTTCCAAATCTGGCTCGTTGTTACCTTTTTTTTTTTTTTTTTTTAATTAAAAATATGGTTTTTTTGCTTGACTGGTGTCACTCAGTGGTTGAACACTGACCCATGCACCAAAAGGCTGCCGGTTCGATTCCTGGTTGGGGCACATGCCCAGGTTGTGGGCCAAATCCCCGGTGGGGGGCATGCGGGAGGCAGCCAGTCGATGTTCTCTCTTATCAATGTTTCTGTCTCTCTCTCTCTCTCACTCTCCCCCCCTTTCCTCTCTCTCTAAAAATCAATGAAGGAAAAAAAAATTTTTTTGATGTTTTTATTGATTTTTTTAGGGAGAGATAGAAACATCGACTTGAGAGAGAAATAGCAGTCTGCTGCCTCCTGCACACCCCCACTGGGGATCAAGCCTACAACCTGGGCATGCGCCCTGACTGGGTATCGAACTGGGACCTCTCAGTCTATGGGAGGATGCTCAATCCACTGAGCCACATCTGCTGGGCTAGTTGCCACCTTTTGGAGAGGCTGTCCTCACCCTGCACAAAGCTCCTCAGGCCCTGACATTTTGTGCTAAGAGGCCTTAGGTGGTCCTTAGAGTTGGGACAGGTAGCTCCCAGGGTGTCATTTAGGGAGAATGCCAGCCAGAAGTGGAAGTAGAGAGGAAGCTTAGGGTGCTAACCTCCGACCCCCATGAGGGAGAGTCCCAAAGTACCAAAGAAGCCAGGGTTGGAGAGGGATTAAGCGTCTTCTGGAACTCGGAGCCCCATCTGCTTGGGGAGAGATGCCACTGTCCTGCTCAGAGATCCCAGCAGTCGTGTGACTTTTGACCCTGCTCTGGTTTGGGGTCCCATTTTGGAGCTGTAGAGACATTCTGACCCTTGGGTCCTGCTTCCTTTTCCTCAAGTCTCGAACTAAGGGCTGGGGTCAGTTTTGAAACCGTAGCCCGCTCAGCGTTGGGGTGTAGCAGGATCTTCTGAGCCCCCATAATTATGCTAACTACTCTACCCTGAACACCTTGATACCACAGCAACCCTGAAAGGAAGGTTTATTGGTATTAGCTCCAGGTGACAAATAAGGAACCCAAGGCTCAGACTGGCCACCTCTCTGCTCAAATGCTCTTACTAAGGTAATTGGAGACCAGAGAAGGGCCAGCAGGTAGGATGGCAGATGAGTGGCCGGCCAAAGAAGGCCAAGGCCAAGAGAGGCTACTGCCTGAGCCTTCCCCTCCCCTGGCATCCTGAAACCTGTGGGCCTTTGGGGCCTGAGCTGAATGGGGGTCCCTGGGCCTTTGAATTACATATTGGGAGGCATCCTTCAGTTGCTTGTAACATCAGTGCTTATTGGTCTGAAAATTCCTCTGCTTTATGTCCCCTGACACAAGTAAGATCTGACTGCAGGATAGCTAGAAAGAAAGGACAAGAGAAAGAAAACATATGGCAAATTCATGCTTTGTTCTGTGTGGTACTCACATGTGTGCCCTGAAAGTCTTGAAACTGGCAATCTCTTGTAACGTAAGGGTGTTTGCATATGCTGTTTCCTCTGCATTCAGTGGTCACTTTGCCTGGCCAATGCCTTCTTACCCTTCATTTCCAAACATAAATGCTATTTCCTCCAAAAGAAGGCCTGCCCTACCCCCTCCATTTAAATTAGAACCCTCTCTTTATTCTCTGTACTCACATTTGATAGAATTTACTTCACTTGAGCTTATCTATTTATTGGTGTCCTTATTTGTCATCTGTCCTCTCCCCCATGGAAGCATAAGCTTCAGGAGCATAGGGCCTATGTCCTGTCTGTTCAGTTCTGCATACACATGGTAGGTGCCTAAAGATTTGTTGAACCAATGAATGAAGGGTCGTTGCTGGTGTAATATGCTCCTGGCCAGCCATTGGAGGAGAGAGAAGAATGACTTTGTCCACAGCCCAGGTTCTACTAGTGGCTACACTTTCAAAAAGACAAATGCTAGATTTACTCAGAAAAAAAAGGAGGGGAAATAGGACCTTCATTATTGCCAGTTGCCCTCAAAGCATTTAGGACACTAGTGGACTGGCTTTTTTAAAAAATTGATTTGGGGGGAGACGGGACATGAATTTGTTATTCCACTTATTTATGCATTCATTGGTTGATTCTTATATGTGCCCTGACCAGGGATTAAACCCGCTACCTTGGCATAACGGGAAACACTCTAACCAGCTGAGCCACCTGGCCAGGGCTGCACTGGCTTCTTTGAGTTTTGTAAGCCTGTGTTGGGCAGGAGTCCCTTCTCAGTTTCCTGTAGGTAGATCCTCAGAGTTAGGCTTAATTAGGCACTCAATCCATTATGGAATGGAGTGGCCTTGGAGATGGATCATCTGGTTTTGGCCACCAGGAGGCTCCTAACCAGTCAGTTCTGGTCTTGGAGCCCTGTTGCCTTGGGCAAGCAGCAGCACCGTCATCTGGGAACTTTTTTAAAATGACAGTTCTCAGGGCCACTCCAGACCTATTGAATCAGAAACTCCAGGTCTGGGGCCCAGCAGTCTACTTTGAAAAGAACTCCAAGGTGAATCTGATGTGCTCAAGTTTGACATTCTCTGGCTTAAGGTTTTAGTCCATTTGTTCTCCCTTCCCTCCACCCCGTGATAATATATTTTAAGAATCCCTATCTGTCTTTTATGGCAGTCTGCTGCCCAATCTTTTTTTGGAAGTTGATAGGAGTATACATTATAAATAGCTACATCTCGTCAGGTTTTCCCCAATATCCAGAGGAGACAAAGGGGGAGTTAACTTGGCCCAAGTCACCCAGCAAGTTGGTGATAAAGTGGGGCTGGATGCCAGGTTTTCCAACTTCTAGTCTCAGGCTTTCAGCTGGCCCCACCACTAGATTCCAGGTTTCCGGAGGGCTGGGAACACTGTCTCCTGCTTTCAGCTCAAACCACCACCACTGCTCTGGGTACAGGGTGCCCGCGGTTACACCCTCACCCTCCAGGCTGCGCGAAGAACTGGGAGTGCGCCCCTCCAGCTGCGCGCAGGCACGTGCGCGCCCGGCCGCCTCGCGCCGAGAGCGCGCGGGCCGCCCCGCCCCTTCCTCTCCGCCCTCCTTCGCGGGTAAACTCCGGGCATCCATCAGTCTGTTAATTGCACTAATTAGAGATCGCGGAGGTGTTAATTGGAAAACCCTGGTATTGTGCCTGTTTGGGGAAGAAAACGTCAATAAAAATTAATTGATGAGTTGGCAGGGCGGGCGGCGCGGGTTCGCGGCGAGGCGCAGGGTGTCGTGGCAAATGTTACGGCTCAGATTAAGCGATTGTTAATTAAAAAGCTACGGTAATTAATACTCTCTTACACCATATGGGCCCGCGGAAAAGGCACAAAGGTTTTTTCCACGTGTAGGACTCCCCAGCCTTTTTCCCCTCCCCCGAAAGCACCCTGGCCCTTGGGTCCTCCCGTTGGTCCCAAGGTGGGTGGAACTCGTCACTTCCGGACAGGGAGGGGACAAGGCGGACCCGGAGGAGTTCCGAGGCGTCCCTTACTGCGAGCCCAACAGGGTTCTTAGAAGGGCCAGGAGCCTCTGGGGAAGTGGGAGCCCCCAGTGGCCCGCAGACTCCCCCAGAGCGGAAGAGGCGGCTGCGGCTTTGACCCAGCTTCCTTCCTTCCGAAGGTGGGGGCGTCTGCAGGAGCTTCGGGCTAGGCCCAGGGCTCTGAGGTGCCCTGTGTCCCTAAGGGGAACCCTGAGAAATGGGAGACTAGAACCTGCCTCAGGGCAGGATCAGAGCCCCAGACAGAAATCCTAGATCCCCTAAAATAACTCCTCTGCAGTTGCTCCTGCTCCCCCCACACACACACACACATACACCCCAACACATGGTAGCAGAGGGACCTGGGAAGGCTGGGGTGAGGGCCTCAATTTACTGACCCCTAGAAAGACCTTCTAATCACCCCCACCCCCTCACACATGTTGTATAAAGGAAGAATGAACAACCCATTAACTTGGGCAAAGGACAGTGACTGGTCCAAGGTCCCCCAGCTGGCCCTAGACACCAGGTTGTCTAATTTCCAGAGCTTTTCTCCTTCTCTTCTGTGGGTGTGCAGCTGCTCTTTGCTGAGCAAATAGGTGACTGGGGAGGAGCATATGGAAAGAGGTGGAAGGGCAGAGGGAAGGAAGGAGGGGGCTGTTGGAGGGCTTCCGCCACCCCCCAGCACCTGAGCAGGAAGTTCAAGTCTACATTGGGTGGAGCCTTTTGGGAAAGGGACCACAGCTGCGACTCAAATGGACCCTTATTGGCTCCTTCCAGCTACTACAACAGTGTGACTTCGTGTGCACATGCTGGACCAGAGAATTTGATTCCTGGAGCTTCCAAGTCATAATAGACCTTTAAGATCACCTCTCCATGCAGAGATGGGAAGTTGAGGCCCAGAGAAGGAGGAAGACAAAGTATTCACAGCTAGCTGTGACTGAACTCAGGCTCTCTGACGCCCAGGCCCCTGCCTTCCCCTCTAGCCAAGGGTCCAGGTTCTCACGGACACCAGCTTCTTCCGCTACACTGCAAACCCTTGTCGTTACAGGGCACTGATATCAAGGCCTATCTCCAGGACTCCACCCCATCCCAACCCTAACAGGCACCCAGAGCCTGCTCACCCACTGTGTAGGGAACACCCCAGTGCTATTGCAACACCCTGTGGAGAAGTGAGCAGGAGGCATGAGGCCACTGGTGCGCTCATCCTCAGAGGACAGGTGTCCCAGGCAGAGGTGAGGGCCCGCAGAGCGCCTGGGAGCACGGCCGTGCAGGTTTTAGTGGGTGTTGGTGGCCTGGCAGAAGCGTGGAAGGAGGTGAAGTTCCCAGGAGGGGCAGAGTGTGCCACGTGGGAATTAATGCCATTCATACACCCTGCGGAAATGACTTTTCAAATGCATATAATCTCAAGCATGCAAATGAGAGGCTTGCTTCACCCTGTTTAATATGAATGATAAGCCCTTGAATAGCTATTATTACATGCCACATTGCAGCAATTATGTTGTTCACTGGGTGTCTCTATGTTCCCCCCATTAAAAAAAAAAAAAAAAAAAACTGAAAAGGGACACCTCTGTTTGGATTCTCCTTCCTTTCTCCAAACTTGCTGTCTGATCCACAACTTTATGGTGTGTGTGTGTTGGAAGGTGGGGCACTCATTCTTACCCCAGGAAAGTAACTGCTGGATTCTCTTTCCTTTCTCCTGTGCGCACACACCCCTGAGGCTCTGGTCTTTGTCCCTTGGGGCCCAGGCGTTCTCAGATCTCAGAGAAGCTAGACTTGGAATCAGGGCTGGCAGCTGCTCTCCACCCCTAGCAGGGCCAGTGTTGAGGGAGAGGGAGACTAGAGTGGGCCCCGGCTGTCTCCCCATCCCCCTCATGTAGCTGGGGCCCAGGCCAGAGTGGGGGAAGGTGCTCTGTAGGCTGCTGAGAGGGATCGGGGTGGGTGGTTGGGGAAGGGGGGCTGGAGCCCTGTGCTCTGGCGGGTGGAGGACGGCGCCCACCCCATCCATCATTTGGCAGCCACTGGCCCTCTGGCTGACACGGCCATTAAGGCCTGAGACCAAGTGCTCAATCTCTTCCAAACCATCGCCCCCATCCTCACCCTCGCCCCTGGTCCAGCTCCTCAGGGCCCAGGAGTGGGGTGGCAGCTGGGAGGGGCACCCAAGAGAAATGTTCCTTGGAAAGACAGACAGACGTACAGACATAGGACACTCCAGCAGCACAGGTTCCACACAGGAAGCCACACGGATCCCCTGGCCAGAGACACCCAGAGTCCCAGATGGAGAGGGGCCTTCGGAGCAGCGAGGTGGCTCACGTGGATTGGTGGGCTCCCCGTGGGCCCTCAGCAGCTCTGCAGCCCGCCCCCCGCCCCCTCAGACCCTCACTTGAACTGGTTCTGCTTCCAGCAGGGAGAAGACAAGCAGGTGGCCCAGCAGCGTGAGGGGAAGAGAGTTCTCCCCGCAGTGCCAGTAGGGAATTAGGGAGCAGGAGAGAGGCCCTCGGGAGCTGCCATTTTGAGGAGGAACCAGGGCAATAATCCAGTCTGTTCCAGCAGTTTCTCTAATCTGCTACCTGCAAGGCCACCGTTCACCTTTTGGGTCAGGAAGACCATGTGGTTGTGGGGTCTGCTCAGGCCCAATGAGAACCAAGAAGGGAGGAACGAACCCTAGCCAGCTTCCACAGACCGCACTGGCTGCTCACATGGCTTCTGTCCCTCGATTTCTGTGTGACCTGGGCCAAGTCTTGACCTCTCTGAGCCTCACGTCTTCACCCTTACAAATGGGCCAGGCGTAGAAGCAGTTGATTGGAACTTACTCTGCTAGGTGTTTTGTAGGTGCCGTTTTATACACTCCTTATAGGACTCTAAGAGGCTGGGATTAATTTACTTCTGCAGTCAGGAAGCTGAGTTTTAGGAAGTTTAAGACATGTGTGGAAGCCCTGGACAGTGTGGTTGAGTATTGCCCTGTGCACCGAAAGGTCACCGGTTCGATTCCCTGGCAGGGCACATGCCCACGTTTCAGGTTTGGTTTCCGGTGGGGGTATGTGTGGGAAGCAACCAATCGATGTTTCTCTCTCACATTAATGTTTCTCTCTCCTCTCCCTTCCTCTCTCTCTAAAATCAATAAAAGCATATGAAAAAGACGGGTTGGAGGTCCGTGGTGGATACCAGCCATGTCCTGGTTCACTGAAATCCATGTGCCACTCAAGGCACTTTGGGGGACAGTTGGAGACCTCCCGACTCTGAGAACGGCTCTGCAGCTGACGTTCTAGCACAGGCTGTGTGTAAAAGCCCCTGAGACAGTGGGACCATAAGTTATAGAAGGAAGCGCAGACCTCCTCCTCCTCACCACCCTGGACACTCCTAAGCATTCCCTCTCTTCCTGGGGATGTTTTCACCTCTCCTTGGGAGGAACTGGGTGGGAGAAAGAGGGTATGGGATACAGGCCTTGACTCTTCGCCTCTGTAAATCCCCAAATTCTGGACCCTGCGCTTTCTCATCTGTCAAGTTAGAATGATAATAACTCTCACAGTTCCTGTGATTGGGATTCCTGGTACTTGTAAAGAAAAAATAAATCATTGAGTGTCTACTCTCGGCCAGGCCCTGGGCTGCCAGCTTCAGCATGGAAGGTCGGCGGGGCGGACCACGCTGCCCTCACCGCACAGCCCCACCAGGCTGTGTCCGCTCCCGCAGGTGCTGGGCGAATAGCAGCCATTTCTGCTGTGGAGCAAACATTGATTAGAACCTCTGTGTCCTGGGGAAAGAGACTCTATAAGGAGGCTCCTGCCCTGGGGAGCTCCCTGTCTACAGGAATAAACACAATGGCCATTACAGGTGTTTGTGCCAAAGGGGGAGGAGCTTATAGTGAGTCCCAGTGAGTAGCTCATCTGCTTTTAAATTCTTCCAGAACTGTCACCCCTCCCCTCCCCCACCCTCATTCCCCCAGCCTGGCCTGGAGGGAGAGGCCAGAACAGGTTTGGAGAGGGGAGGGGGGGCATGGCCTCCTCCCCTGTCCTACAGAGGTCTTCTGGAAGTCAAGTTGAGCAAAAGTTAGGGGAGGGGGCAGCTGCAGTCTGGGGAGCTGCCCCTTACCTGGGCCTAGAGGGAGGGTGACATTGGGAGAGGCTGTACCCCAAGAAGGGTCCCAGGAGCAGCCCCTAAAGTTGAGAAGGAGGAGAATATGTCCCAGGACTGGGGTGGGGGTGTTGGATGGTGGTGTTAGGGAGGTGTTGAGGGGCATTGGTCGCTTCCCCGGGGTAGAACCCTCACCTGCCCTGCCCATTCAGTCTGGAGCCTCAGCCCCTCCCCCCGTCTCTCCTCCCCCTCCAGGTCCCGCTAGAGCGACATGATGGTGGAATCTGCCTCAGAGACAATCAGGTCAGCTCCCTCTGGTCAGAACGGCGTGGGCAGCCTCTCCGGGCAGGCCGATGGCAGCAGCGCCGGGGCTGCGGGCACTGCTGGAGGCGGTGCAGGCAGGGACCCAGCAGCAGGCGACAGCAACGGCGAGATGAGCCCCGCGGATCTGCTGCACTTCCAGCAGCAACAGGTAGGAGCTGGTCCCCTCCTGGGCCACAGGGACAGGGAGAGGGCACAGCAGGCCCCCTCCCACTGTACCCTGGCCACCCCTGCCATGCTCTGGGCCAGGCAGCTTCACTTGAACCTTCTTGGAAAAGTCCAGCTTCCAGGGACTTCCTCTGGCCCTCCTGTCCTAGTGGCCGACCTTAGCGCCGTGGGAAAGCTTCGCTTTCAAGAGAAAGAAATGGGAGGGGGGTCCTGAGATCATGGAGCTTAGAACAATCTCAGAAATGCCCCCAGGACAGACCGACCGGGGCAGCAGGCCTGAGGGGGCGTCTTGGATGGGTGGGCGCCTGGGCTCTCCCCGCACACTGGCTAAGTTAGCAGGGTAGGGGGAGAAGACCCTCACTTTCCAAGTGTGTTCACTGGGGAAAGGGGGCCGTGCCCATGGGGGTATCTTCACTTTGTTTGCATTGTAAAATACCCCCCCATCTCTGCCTGGGCCCCTGACCCAAACTGTGAAGAGATTAAACTTCCAGCCACCAGAGGCCACAGCAGCTGGGAAAGGCCAGGAGCCAGAGGCAGAAGCAGACCTCCATTTTCAGGGCTCAGACTGGGAACCTTTGTCTGCACCCACTTCCCCTCTGCCCCTGCATCATTCCCACCCTGAATTGCAGAGTTCAGGAGTTCAAGACCAGCCTTTCTGCAGATCGAGAGGCCCTAGGGTGGGGAGCCTGGTTGGGTGATGACAGAACAGGGGCCCCAGGTCCCAGCCCCACCCGGGGCTCAGGGAGAATAATCGTGCTTGACAAGTTCAGGAGAACCGGCCCAGCCAGCCCTGGCCTGGAGATTTTCCTTCTCTTACTTGACTCCCTGCTCTTCAAATCACTGCTAGTGACACTGGCCCTTGGGGGCTCTGCTGGGAGTAAGGAAAATACAGGTTCTGCCTGCCCCTCCCGCCCAAGCCCCCACCCCTGCCTCATGTGCACAGATGTGTGTGCATTGCCCTCATGCCATCTCCCAGGTTCACCCTGGGCCTCCTCCCCTCACTCCGTGGCCTCTAGGGGGCCCTTTCCCACCACAGCCTCGGAGCCAGGGGTCAGACTGGAAGCCGCATGGTCCGAAGCTGGGCACCCCGCATTGAGCTGGCCGGCCAGCACTACCCAGGAATGGAGCAAACCCGGGTTAAGGTCACCTGCCCCTTACGGTGACCTTGGCCAAGTCCTGGGCCTCCCTGAGCCTTGGCCTCCTTGGTGCCCGAAGTACAGGATTGTTAGGATCAGATGCAGTTTGGGTGTGCAACCCCCGTACACACAGGCCGTGGATGAACCGAACTAAGGGCTTTAAAAATCACTTCCTCTTAGAAGCCGTGAGGCTTGAGTGGAAAGGGCCTCTCCCCTCCCCAGGGAGATGGTCCTTGGGGGTTTTCTGGCATCTCCTAAGCCTTCCTAAGCCGATCTCTGGGGCAGAGACCCGGCGCCTGTGCCATCTACTGGGGACAGAGGTCAAAGGGCAAAATCCTCCCCTTTATCAAAATAATGACAAAACACACCCCACCAGAGGGCTCCAAGGCCACCCATTTGGTATGGCCAGCTTCCCCTCCCACACATCCATGCCCGCAGCCATGAACAATTCCAAATGGAGGGTGCGGGGTGGGCAGAAGAATTACTGAAACTGGGAATGTCTTTTGAAAAGTATTGAAAGGGCCCTGGCCAGTTTGGCTCAGCGGTTAGAGCGTTGGCCTGCGGTCCGGAGAGACCCGGGTTCGGTTCCTGCTAAGGGCACGTACCTCGGTTGCAGTTTGTCCCCGGCCCTGGTTGGTCGTGCGGGTGGCAGCCACTTGATGTGTCCCTTTTACGTCGATGTTTCTCTCTCTCTCTCTCTTCCTCTCTCTCCCTCCGGCTCTATCTGAACAAAAAAATGGAAAAATGTCCTCGGGTGAGGATAAAAAAAAAAAGAAAAGTATTGAAAGGGGAGAGTGAACAGCTCTCCGGATAACCGGGCCTTGCGGGGGGGGGGGGGGGGGGGGGGGTCTGCGCTGATCAGGTTTCTCCGTCCTGCGTGCACACACGCATGCTTTACCGTCCACGTTCCATGTTCCAGTTATTCCTGTTTGTTTTGGGGAATATCCCAAAGTCCTGGAAAATCCTATATCTGTTTCACAAATAAACTGGGGTGGAGATTTGGAGGCAGGCGGAGGGCTGTTTTATCCATTTGGGCTCACTATGGGCGTAGTGCCTGGGGCCAAGGAAAACATTTGAGACTTAAAAAGGTTTTGTTGGCTCCAAAATATGAAAAGAGCCCTGCAAAATTAAAAATACAAAATTTTCAATTAAAATGAAATCCGTCTGTGGACCCTCCTTCCACCCCCCAATACATGAGTGAGGTTTGGGGGGAAGTTTCCGGAGTAGCACATTCTGGCCCCCCAACAACACATGTTCCTGAGTCTGTGGGCTAAAGCAGCTGTGGGCAAGGGAGCCTGGCCCAGTGGGCTCCTCCTCCCTCTCAAACCCAACCAGGAAGTCCTCCAAGGACAAACAAACACCTGTGTCTGTTGGGTGCTTTGGGTCCTTCACAGAGGTTGTATCATCTACCTCTGGGAGGTAGATCTTATTATTCCCATTTCACAGGTGAGGGGGGCAGCAAGAGGTGGCACTGACTTGTCCGTGTGACATGGTAAAGGCTGCAGCTAAACCTCAGGTCTCTCAGGTCCCAGTCCAGGGCTCGGCACATCCTCCTTCTCGCTCCTGCCACTCACACAGGCCTCTGCAGGAAGTGGAGAGAGCGAGGCCTACAACATAGTAGGTGCTAAATAAACGGCCGTTGATGCCTGATGGAGAACACTCCATTCCCAGCCTAAAAGGGCTCTTCAAACAAACAAACAGAAGCAACACTGTGCACTGGCCCTAAGTAGCCACTCCAGAGGAAGGAGGTTGGGGGAGGGTGTTTGTGGGCCGGGCACTGGTCTGTCCTCGTCCTCTTGTGCCTCCAAGCCCCTCTCCCTCTGTCCTTCCGTCTGCTGGTCCCTGTCCCTCTGCTCTGGGTAAACAAGCCCTGGAAATGCAAGCGTGGCCTTTGGGAGTAATGAGTTGACAGAGGAGAGAGAGAGAGAGATAAACAGGGCAAGTCAGAAGTCAGACTGGTGACAGGACTTTAGGCTGAAACAAACAGTGCTGAAGAGGGCAGCCACATCACTTTGGAAGCAGAGCAGCGCCTGTTTCCACGCAACAGCAGGCCGGAGCTTGTTTAAACAGAGGCTGGGAGGGGCGGTGACATAGCTCGGCTGCCAGGCCCCTCAGATGGAGAGAGGGTCCCTGGCTGGCTGCCCCATTGCAGCAGCCAGGGCCCCAGCTTCCTGCCCCGCTCCCAGCGCCCTTCCCGGTGAGTGACAGCCACACCACGTCCACCCTGCCCTTGGCTTCCACTGAGTCTCCCGTCTCTCTCGTGGAGACCCTGCCCCGAGAAGAAGGCGTGGGAGTGTGGTAGGCCCCGGCGCACGCCACGCCTTCGCTCTGCACTGAACCCTCGTTTGCACAGGGACCCTGTTGGCCAGCTGGAGTTGGGGATGCCCCAGCTGCTGTTGAAGAATACACTGGACCCAGCAGGCTCACCAGCTAGCTGCCCATCAGCCCCTTCCTTCACCAGTGCAAAGCCCTTCCTCATCGCCGCCTCGCCCCGGCCTCCCTCCGATGGCTTTTCCCGTGCAGGTTGCCTTACCTGAGTTCACCTGTGAACATGTCCACGTAGGGACTGCACACATACCCTTTGGGCTCTCTGGGGGCAGTGAGCTGGGGAAAGTGTGTGCCAGCTTTTGGGAGGTGGGGGCCTGGGAAGGTCTCGGGGACCAGACTGGGCGCTCCGCCTAGGAGAGCGGGACTCGGGCCGGAGGGCTGGGCAGGCCCAGTGGGGGCCGCGCTGCTGGCCGCTGGGCAGAAAGGCGTCCTGGGCCTCCGGAGCCGCACTGCTATTGTCCTCAGGTTGTGGGGGTGACAGGTCAGTGAGGGTCACAGGAGGGTTGCTTAGCGTCTGGGAACTCCCACTGCAGTTGCTGTGGCAACCAGGGCCAAATCCCACCCTGTGCACATCCTGTGAGGAGATTCAAAAGGGCTGGGGGGGCTCTGCACTTTAATGGGCTTTTAACTCACCCCCCTCCACAGAGATGGGGGGTGTCAGGGACTCGGGCGAGGGGAGGAAGAAGAATGGAAGAGATTTTTGTTTTCCTTCTCCATCTGGCTCTCCTCTGCCAAAGCTACTTAGGGGGATGGAGTGGGAAGGGGAGGCCTCAAAGGTGAATTAGCACCCCCCTCCCCCACTTCACACACACTGTCTGCAGTTGTCTTTAATTTTAGGTCTGGGGCCCACTTTTTCAGACTGTGGGACTCCCACCCTCATGCCTCAGATTGTACTTTTTCATAAGTGGTCCTACACCTTCTTTCCTTCCCAGCGAAGGAGTCCCTTCCCCAGGGGCTGCTGAGGCCTGAAGGGAACCTTGGGGCACGGACTCCCCAGAGGGGAGACTTGGAAACCGCACACGAGTGAGGTCCCTGCGCCCCCGCAGCTGCAGGATAGTGCTGAGAAAGTAGGAATGGGGGCAGGTGGGTGGGGCTGGCAGAGAGGACCAGCAGGGAGAGGGCCTTCACCCCCACCGTGTCTTGTAGCCCTGCTGGGTTACTCCGCCAAGACCACTGTTTCCTGTGTCTGCCTCCCAGTCCCAGGAAAAGGGAAGCTTCCCCAGGAAGGAGCTCCAGGGAGAGGGAGGCCCCATGCTGGGAAAGGGGTCCCAGGCCCCTGCTCCTTTGGGACCAGAAAGGAGCCAGCCCCCCTACCACCGGCCTTCCCTTCCAATATGAAATGTTGAGACTTTGGAGTTTCCTCTCTTCACTGTACCCCCTGCCCCTTGTATGCCAGAGTTTTTACCCTTACTGGTCAGGAGTGGGGGCTGGGGAAAGGGGGAGTTGAGTGTTTCCTCTTCGGAGGGGGGAGGGCTGCGTCCCGGGCACCCTCAGTGGGGAAGACAGTGTTTCTGGGGGA